TGTTATTATTTAATTAAACATAAACAGTTACATTATAATATTGTATTCTAGGTATATATTACTTTCTACCATACTACATGTTCATAATATCTGCAATATTAAATAATAAATTAGTTCACTACGGTTCACCATACCAAAAGATTAATTTATGAACAAATTTACATAATCCACCATTACAACTTATGCCATTACATTATATAGTTAATCTCATTAAGTATAAATAGAGATACAATAAAAAAAAATTAAATTGTAATTGAACCTCACAAAACAAGATAACCCCATAATATAACACCATATCAAATCTATCTAGCAATTGAGTTAACACATCTAAGACTGCTATGCTTCAGACTTAAAAGGAAAACGCGTCTTGATCTGTACCACATTGGGCTATGCCTAAGTAATAAGAAATGCATACCTCCTTAATCAAAGCAGACAATCTGTCAGCTGTGACAAACCCGCTTGATAAATAGTGAGCTACTGGTTGCTTTATTGGCTTCCTAACTCCAACTGCCATAAATACTAAAGCATATGATGCTGCCTGCGGAGATCTACCTTGCGTAGAATGGTCTTGGAATCCCTCAATATGGTCCAGCTTAGAGTTGTACCACAAATTTTTTCTTAAAGACATTTCATCCCACAACAATATATATTCCTTGTCTGATGGGTCTAAGTGTTTTGTCATCTTTTTCAACACTGTAAGTGTGGTTTTGTGTACCCCAACATTCATTTTAAAACCACTTAGAAGGGATTTTAACGTGCTAGGTGCTGGCAAACAAATCATTCGCCTTAATAACTTATAGCATGTTGGTGAACGTTTGTATAGCCTCAATGCTATTATTTTGGCTTCCATGTTCCACCTGCGGCCAGGTTTCTTCCTGTTATAATTTTGTAGTTCTCCTTGCAGCAATAATGCGAATGAAGAACTCATTTTCTTAGAGAGGATTTTGTTCACAGTTTTATTGTTACATATCTCATTTAAAAATGCTTCATTTTTTAAATGCTTAACAGTTTTTTGTAGTCTGTATACTTTGTTCATACTACTTTTTAGTTTCTGTACCAAAATTCTGGTTTTTTTATCTTCTTCTTGTTTTGAAGATTCAGTCAAACAATCCTTATCCTTACTTCCTTACTAATATTAATCAAGTAAACAATCCTTATCCTTACTTCCTTACTAATATTATAAATCGGAAAGTGAGTTTGTTTGTTTGTTTGTTCCGCTTTCACGCCGTAACTACTAAACCGATTGCTTTGAATTTTGGCAGATGTACAGTTAGAAGTCTGGATTAAATAATAGGGTACTTTTTATCCCGAAAAAATGTGATATTCTCGAGGGAAAACGAAATAATTGGTATAGATGGCGCTGTGTGTATTGGTATATGTCATATAAGCTACTTTTTATCCTTTTGTGACGCGAGTGAAGCCGCAGGTAAAAGCTAGTACTTAGATAAAACGAATTTAAGTTTAGGAGTGAAAACTAGCTACGCAATCAGTTTCATAGCTTTTATAAAGTCAATTTTCAAATTGTTCAATTGCATTCAATTGTCAGTCTGATCCTGTACTTTATTGTTCAAAAACTTAAAGAAATTAATTTCTTTAACTCGTTAATTCCCAGTGTCACCTGTAGGTGACAGAAGTTTAATATTTTTTTTTTACTAACCAGAGGTTTTATTTTTAAATTTCATTTTATTGGTTGGAAAGCCAATAGGTAAAACTACTAAATTTTTATTTCTGACGACACTAACTAAATGTCATCTGTCAAATACAATGAGATGTTTGGCGCGATTTTCGAGCAGCGTGTGTTAGTGTAATTACTCCTCATAAAAAGTGAAATAAAAATGCCTAGACCGTAAGTATTGTTATTTTTTCTTATTTTATATAATAAATGAATAAATAAGCTATTGCATAAATGCTTTTATTAGTCAAAGTATTTTAGAACGTATTTGTTACATCAGTAGAAATATGTCGTGTCACCTGCAGGTGCCACTGGGCATTATGGTGTCGTTTTGTTCTGAGTTGGTTCAAAGTAACACAAAGACTTTTCTTAGCATTTTAGGCTTATCGCTATGTGGTGATGGTGTGTTAGAGCTGGTTTTCTATTACAGGTTGACCTTAGATGAGATAGCCGAGGTGTTGCACGCTGGGGAGGATCCAGGCGATATCATTTTATTTCCCCCTGATGATGGTTTGGTGACGGACGAAGATAGTGATGATGAAAATGAAACTGACATTCTTAGACTTCCCAGTCGCATGCTTCGATCTCACTTAATTAATTTTAAGCCAAATAAATAGAGTGAAATACTTCTGTTTGTTTCATTTATCTCCTCCATATTTAATGATTTAGTCATTTTATACACAAGTACACTGTATGTCTCGATATTGGTTATATGTATACTGATCAAGATGTTAAAGGTAATTATCGAGAAATGCACTGTACTTGTGTATAAAATGCTATACAAAGAATGAGTCGATACAAAGAATATACCGCGTGTTTTGAAATTCCCGCCCTGGTTTCTTTTGCTTAGTATTGGAGGGCAAGGCATAGATGGCGTTCGTCGGTAAGGTAAAATAATGCGCGCGGAGGCACGTCGCCGGGGCGAAACCCCGCTGCCGCGCCAGATAGGTGCGTGGCGGGATGAGCTCCGGCGCGATCTCATGGTGGATTGGCATCATTGACTGTCGCAACCGAGGGCTGGGCTCGCTGCCATCGCAGCGGTAAGTCCCCTCTTTGAGGAGTGGCTTGAGAGACGCTACGGCGTCCTCACCTACCGCCTGACGCAGGTCCTCACCGGACATGGAAGTTTCGGGAGGTACCTGTGTCTGATGGGGCGGGAGGAAACGCCCGGGTGTCATCACTGCGAGGACCGCCCTGAGGACACGGTGGAACACACGGTGGGAGAATGCCCTTCGTGGGCTGAGCACCGCCGTGTCCTCAGGGAAGTGATCGGCGATGGCGACCTCTCGCGTCCGGGCCTAGTGCAGGCCATGATGCGGAGCGAGGGGGATTGGGATGCCGTCTCCTCCTTTTGCGAAGCAGTCATGCTAGCTAAGGAGGAGGCGGGACGCGTGAGGCAGCGAAGCGCTGCCTCCTCGCAACCCAGCCATCGCGAAGGACACACCGGGCGTCGGGGATCGCGGGACGATCTCCGGCCACCGTAAGCGCGGGCCTGCGGACGGCGAGCATGGGTGGCTCCCCGTCCGACCAGAAACAGACCCGAGCGTACGGCGCGTCGCGTTCCGCGCGCGCCTCAAAGAGCCATCAGACCACCACAGATGGGGCCCAATAGGGCCGATGCCGATTCGGAGTCGCGGAGAACCTAACGGGTAACCGGGGCTCCGGCTCGACGTGCAGGAGAAGGAACGGGGTGGTTTTTAGTCAGTAAGAGTCTGACACTCCCTCCCGCCTCACCCAGGCGGGGGCAGTCATTCGATGATTTTCCCCCCTTAAAAAAAAAAAAAAAAAAAGGTAAAATTTCCTCGCGAAACTTGTATGGAGTCGTTATTCTTCCCTTAGGGTATATATGTTCTGTGGTACAGCGCCAGCGCCCGTCAAGGAAGGACCTATGCAATTTTTTCCGTCGTCCCGATTGCCGAGCGCTCACGAAATAAAGTGAATATTATACTGCGACCAAATAATTTTGATACGCTTTGTATTTTTTTACTTAAGGTAAGATTTTGTTTGTTTTCACATATGTATTAAGATGTGTCTTTTTTTGTAAAATAATTATGAAAATATCGCAAATTAACAGTTACTTTGTTTTAATTTTAGAATGAGAAATCGTCTAAAGGGTAAATATTCAAATTCACATGTTCCACAGCGTAATAAATTACAATTTTGGTTTAAACTCTATTTAATATATCTATGTCATGTATACCTACGATTTTTAATTAATGCTTGATTTTTTTTTGTATTTTTTTATGTGGAACATATTTAAAAAAAATGAAAATAACAAAAAAACTCATTACAGGGGCCTGTTCCAATGCTAGACTTCATTATATTTTTTAGTATACTTGTAAATTTAGCGCAAATATCGTAAGTTTGGCGAATGTGTCGAATAACTTAACTGTCATTTGTTACTTGATAACAAAGTAAAACGTAGTTTTATGATTAAATAAGGAAAAAATGAGTTTTAAAGTTTTGTAACAGCAAAAAATTCATTACCAAAAGGTTTTTTATTAAAAACCTTTGATCACGGCGCCATGTAGCGAGCCCCCCCGCTCTTCATTCGGCCGGCCAACGTAACAAGAGAAGGACGTGCGCACGATTTCGCGCCAAAAATTGCAATTGATGTGAGTATTACAGTGTTTGGTCCATTTTGTGTTTCATTACAAGTCCACTTACATCTTGATACGTAAATAAACTTGGTGTTTAGTTGTTATATCAATTCATTAAGTTCTGTGTCAATTTCATTTTTAAATGTGTAGATGTTAAGTAAAGTTTATAGAAAAATATATAATAACCTAAAAGTGCATTTTGTTCATTACCGTGTCCTTCATTACAGTCGTTTACCGTAACCTTTTAGAGGTTACGGTAAAGTAAGAAGTAGCCAAGCGGAAACGCTACGTTGCTTTAAAAAATAATGAAGAGTTATACAATATTCAAAAAGAAAAGGAAAAAGCAAGATACTTAAAAAGGAAATCTGAAAAAAAAAATTGTTGACATTAAAGATTTAACACCACGTGCTCAAAGAGAAAGACGTAGATGATGGAGAGTTAACAGCAAGAAATATATAAAAAAAAAAAAAGAGAAAGAGATTGAAACTGTTGAACTTCTGGACATTGAAACATCACAAGACGAGCCTCTTGATGATAATAATCCGCTTGAAGAATCTATTCCATCAAATTCCGTTAAAGAAACTGGGACCAACGAAACTGATAAAACTTTTAAGTTAAGAGCAACAATAAGACATATACGTTATCAAAGAGATAGGGATATGAAAAAAATGAAAAATGAGCTTTGCAACATAAAAAAACAAAACAAGAAATTGAAGAGACTTTTAAACACATATAAAGAGAAGATAAAAGACAATACAATGAATAATAAAAAACTACCGACTAGAAAAATAGGCAAAAAAAAAGATCCAATATAATTTTAACAAAAAAAAAGAAAAAGATGTTGTTAAAAAAGTTGAGTGCTTTTATAATGAAGACGAGAACACAAGAGTAGCACCAGGCAAAAAAGAATACATCACGAGAAAGAAAAACAGAAAACAAAAAAGGTACTTAAATGATACTCATATAAAGGGCATTGATTAAAATTGGTGCCTTTCTTTTTTCTGGCGGCAGTCGATGATTTATGGAAAATATTATCTAGAATGTCATTACAAACGAAATTGTCTATGGGCTTATATGTGGAAATCTCAGTCTGGACTGAGTTATGAGCGTTGAAAGGAGCTGGAGTCAAACATTTTACTTCGGTTTTTTATTCAAATTATTCATATTTTTGCCACAATTCCTAACTTCAAATTGCGCGCCACTGTACTCCGGGCACAGGAAAACCATATCACACTACAATATATTCATATTGCCAGGCACTAATTTTTATTACCTATTTTCTCTCGGTCGATAACTTGTGGGATGCTTTTAGAAGTTGTGTCATGAAGCTTCATGAGCGTCAGCTGTGGCACCAGTGGTGGGTTGAGTAGTGGTAGCCGTCCAAACATCTAATAAAGTATAATTTTATTTTGCCATTGACTCCTGGTGGGAGACTCATCTACTTTATAGTTAGCATAATCTTTTGAAGAAAGGAAACCGTCGACTTTGTAAAGTGATCAGCGCAATCCGCTACCGACGCCGCAGCTGACAAACATAGCATTTCATGATAGGGCTCAGTAAAGTATTTTGCGGGTTTTCGACTGAGAGGAAATTGATCATGAAAATCTGTCATAGGCCATAAACCGTATACATAATAATATAAAGTCAACACGCTAGCCAATAAAGCGAAATGTTTTTCTATTTACTTCAGCAGTGACCAATAAATGGTTCACTCTGATGGTCTGTAATTCTGAATCAGTGGTTCGGATTCCTTGTCCTTATAACAAAAAAAAAATAAGTAACAAAGTCCACAACAAGCTTTAATTCCTTGAAATCGTTTATAATCATTTATAATACAAAATATTTCTGACAAGTAAATGAAGTTAAATGCGTTGTGTACTGTCACCATCAACAAAATAACAGGAATAATATACCACTATTTTCTCATCTTTGAACTGATTTAACTCGGTTCGGACTGAGTTTTTGATATAAGACCCCATATATTTTTTTGTTTGTAATGTTATTCTGCATCAGTTTTTCCACATCCGATCAACTGCCGCGAAAAAATGAAAAGGCACCACGCCCCATACAAATTTGGTCATTGTCATTTGTACAAAAAGTTCTGCCTTGAGAATCCAAATACATCTGTCATCTGTGTCTTACACGTTCTTCTGTAAATTAAGGCCATTTTGGGTGTTATTTCCCAAACCAAACAGAAACACATGCGAATGTATTTATCACTGCAATTCAGAGTTACTAATAAAGGCTCTAAATAAGGCAGAAATCATAAATATTAAAACAAATCATGATCTTTTAAACATGCTTTGTTGTGATAGATATAACGAGGCATGCTTAGATCGTAAATGTTCTAATTGTGAACCAAAGGTTGTTGAATATTTGGCATTTAGCAACGACATACACATCAAATATTTTGAATGGCGTAAGACTTCTAACACCTATGAGCAGGATGGAAAAGTAAAACATAACATTCTTTGGGCTAAAACTGAAAATTATGCACCACCTTTAGATGTTATTCTTAAATTTGAAAATCATATTGAAAAATTTTTGCCACATTGTGCTACTGTTGTTGTGCAAAATAAAACTATAAAAGAACTAAAAAATAGTATTCAGATAAACGAAGCTGTGGTACATTTAGCTTTTAGCGAAAACTATGCTCTTAAACATCACATGGAGATTCAGTCTTTTCATTTTGGAGGCAGTAGAAAGGAAGTGTCTATTTACACTGTAGTAATATATATCAAAGACTTCGAAACGTCCCAGTTAAAAACTCACTCAGTTTGCACCGTATCCGACAATTTGAAACACACAGCCGTTGCAATTTGGGCACACTTGGGCCCGATTTTGAGTCAAATTTCCGAAATATCACCTTTTATTGATACTCTACACTTTTATAGCGATAGCCCCAGCAGTCAATACAGAAACCGAAACATGTTTTATATTTTGACTCGATTGGAAAAACAGTTTTTAGCACTTCGTAAATTAACCTAGAATTACATGGAAGTGGGTCACGGAAAAGGTGCTCCAGATGGCCTAGGAGCGGTAGTCAAAAGGACCGCCGATAGAATTGTTAACACAGGAACAGACGTCGGGACATTTTCCAAATTTGTTGAAATTACAACAGCAAACCTGCCAAATATCAAAATTGTTGAGATCACAAATGCAGATATAGATGAAAAGCAAGCCATGATGCCAAATTGCGTCCTCTAGCCGCTAGAGGACGGGAACGCCGTCGTGGCCTACTGGACCCACGTCCAGTCCAGCTTGAACTCGAGCCCGAACCTCAGCCTCCTGAGGTGGACTACGAAAACATGGGTACGCCAGAAGCAGACACACTCCCGAATTCCCCCTATAGTTCGCTTAGCCTACTCTCAACGGCGTTAAGTTCAGAGTGGGCTTCACGGACACCTAGGAATAGGCAACATCCATCGTTTTCCGAATAAGTAATACACACACAACAGCTTACATAATTGTTCATGCGGTTCACTCACGCTGATGTTATATGACAGGGCTGTCCAAACCATGGCCCGCGGGCCGCATGCGGCCCGCGGCTTGTTTGATTGCGGCCCGTAGAACCTTTTTTAACTGACTTCAAAAAAAGTCCGGTTTCCAAAATTAACAAGCAAATTATTTTTCTCGCATCAAAATCGAATGTTTTGGGTATGTTCGATTACGTTGCTCACATCACTATTCACTCGAGAATTCGGGGAATTCCCCGAACGCAAGATACGTGTACCTACTACCGCGCATCGTTCATTGGGCATTTGTTTGTCACTTGTCATTCAACGCGACGAAAGTCTTGATTACGCAAGGTTACTTTCAGGTTAAAGACTTTAACATTATTTTAAAGTTTGTTCGCTTTGTGTTTGCGTATAAAAAACTTTTAACCTCATCATGTCTACAAAGAAGAGGAAGTTAAGTGAAGAAAAACGTTCATTCAATGAGAAATGGGAGTTAGACTACTTTATTTCCAACAATAACAATAAAATTCAGTGTTTGATTTGTATGCAAGTTTTATCTGTAAGTAAAGAATATAATGTTAAGCGACACTATACTTCTTTACATGAAGAAAAGTATAAAAAACATGTCGGTGAAGCAAGAAAAGTTATGGTGGCTGAGTACAAAAAAAAACTAATACAGCAAACAAGTATGTTTTCAAAAGTAAGTACTGAAAATGAACAAAGCTTGGCTGCTTCATATAAAGTTTCATTACAATTAGCCAGAGCTAAAAAACCATTTAGTGATGGAGCTTTAATAAAAAAATGCGCAGTTGAAATGGCTAAACGCTTTATGCAGCCGAAATTAGCGGAAAAGTTTGAATCTGTTGCATTATCTCACCAAACGGTGCCGCGACGAATAGAGGACATGGGTAATTATATTACGAAAAGTTTATGTGATTACTTTGTAGATTGCGAATATTATTCAATATGTTTGGATGAAAGTACCGACCAGACCGATGTCAGTCAATTAATAATCTTCATACGTTGCATTTCCAAAGATTTTACAATCACGGAAGAAATGCTGGATTTAATACCATTTCATGGAACAACTAAAGGCAGTGATATATTTGAAGCAGTTAACAAAACTATTGTAGAATATGGAGGATTTCGTAAGTGTTCTTGTATTGTGACCGACGGGGCAAAAGCTATGACCGGAAAAGTGACAGGATTTGCGGGACTTCTAATACAAAATGGCATTGATTGCCCGTTGTTCCATTGTATCATACACCAAGAAGCCTTGTGTGGAAAATCGTTGCGTCAAATGAATGCTATGAAAGTTGTTATAAGGATAACCAATTTGATTAGAGGTGGAAACAGATCATTGACACATAGAAAATTTAGAGACTTCTTATGTGAAATCGATGCAAACTATGGAGATTTACTATTGCATTCAGAAATCAGATGGCTAAGTGCTGGCCAGTGCTTGCAACGCTTTTTTGCCTTACGAAAAGAAATACCTTTATTTCTAAAAAATGAGATATCGTCTGACACTTCTGAACTACAAGATAAAATGCGAGATCCTCAGTTTCTGGCTGATCTTGCGTTTTTAACTGATATGACGCAACATTTGAATGAGTTAAATTTAAAATTGCAAGGTAAAAACCACAATATAGCCAACCTGTATGGAAATGTGAATGGATTCAGAAATAAACTTAAATTGTTCAAGACGTCTCTACAACAAGATGATTTTTCTTTTTTTCCAAGTTGTAAAGAACATTATTTAGAGATGAAAAATTTTGAAGAATGTAATTTCTTGGACCACCTCAAATACATGGACGAAATAATCGTCGAATTTGAGCGGCGTTTCGCAGATTTTGAAAAAATTGAGAGTGATATAGCACTCTTCACTCAACCATTAACAATCGCAGTTGAGACTGTAAACATTGATTATCAACTGGAACTGTGTGATCTGCAATCAGACCCCTTTTACAAGGGCAGAACAGAAACAGGCATTGATTTTTTTAAACTCCTCGCTGAACGTTTCCCGAAACTGACGAATTTCGGACAAAAAATGGGCTCGATGATGGGCAGTACCTACCTTTGTGAAAGTGCATATTCGACAATGAAGTTTATTAAGTCTAAATACAGGTCTTCATTGACAGATACTTCACTTAAGCATGCACTGCGCCTAGCTACTACTAATATTAATGTTGATATTGACAGAATTGTAAAAGACAAATTAACAAAACAGTAGGTTATCTACCTACTAAATAAAATAACAAATCATTATAAACTGTTTTTTATTTTTACAAATATTTTGCGGCCCACCAATGTATTTAGTATTTTTTATTGGCCCTGGGTCCCATCTAGTTTGGACACCCCTGTTATATGATAATAAGTTTTATTCTTTTCTAATAGATGTTATCATCCTGGGAAGCGAAGTCGAAACGGAGTTGCAACCGAGCACTGAGCACAGAAAGTCAACTAGTAAGTATTTAATGTACTCCGTTGTGTTACCCACATAAATTTCAAAAAATCAAGTAGCCTACTTTTTAATCCAAAATTCATCCATCCTCACAAACTTTCGATTTATTGATTATGTAATACCTGTTTTATTTGTTTCAGATATAACAGACAAAAATTTTGAAAGTATCGTAAACAATTTGGCTTCAAGATAATGACAGTGACGTTTACTTAGACGCTAACTTTAACGACAACGACGGTATTTTTGTTCCGGTCATGCATAAGGCAACAACTGAACCAATGTGATGCTGACATGACTGAACTAAAGACTGAAGTGTTACGTACTGAGGACGAATTTAATGCCCAAGTTTTACGCGACATAGTGCCTAGTAATGATAACTTCACTTTTGACTGTAAGAAAGACAGGGCGAACTGTACTGGACGGTGAAAGGCTTTTACAGGGTTATCGGGAACGACTTTTGATAACAGACAAGACTCCTGTTGACATTTTTTACAAAATATTTATACTCGTTTTATAGACCGACTTTGCACAGAGACTAACCACTACGCAGAGCAGAAGATAGCTCGCTTAAAAGCGGAGAACAAGCTACTTCCAACATCCCGTCTGCATAGATGGACTCCAACTGATTATAGCGAAATGATTACGTTTTTTGTAGTATTGAAGCAGCAAGGCCTGTATCTGTTACCAGAGGAGCAAAACTACTTATTTTTTAACGGGTTTGGAACCATGCCGTATTTTTCGCGCATCATGTCATTCAATCGTTTTTTATTGCTAAAATCGTTATATCATTTCGTCGACAATCCGACTTTGACTAACAAGACTGGACTCTAAATATAGCCGGTACTTGACCACCTTAATGACAAATTTTCCACATTATACAAGAGCCTGCCCAAGAGATAGCCATAGACGAGTCTCTCCTCAAGTGGCACGGGCGATTAAGTTCTGCTCAAAAAATTGCCACCAAAGCCACCCAAGTTCGCATAATATTTAAAAGAAAAGCTTATTTATGTGCTAAGAAAGTATTATATTTCTATCTCACAAATAATTACAATAACGACTGATAATGGAACTAATTACTTAAAAGTAAGCAAATTAATTAATAAATAAATTGAGGAAGCAAGCAATAAAGATGATAATGATGACCATTCCGATGAAGAAAATGAATCACTACCACCAAATTTTCAATCTTTCTCTTTAGAAGATAATGGGCAAGACGACAGTAAGACGGAATCATCAAAATATTGTGTTTAACTGATAAAATATTGTGTATGTATTGTGGAAAAAATCTCCATTTTAAGATTTAAGACGAGATTATTATTTTATTTTAGAAAATAAAATTACAAAACACTGCCATCCGCCATGTTTTTTAAAACGCCAATCAAAGTGTGTTACGTCAGCCCTCAGTAAATACTGTCACTGTCACCGAATTTATTTCGAGTTTCGACTATCTCTTGAGTTTTAACATTGTTTAAATTAATTAAAAGTAGTATCATTAGATCTATATCGGTCTTTTGCTTACTTCATTAAATAATTAAGCCATGGAACTAGGATTTACTAAGGCAAACAGTTCTAATTTGCCTCGAGTGGATTTGTTAATGATGGGAGAGTTCCTGGCGTCAAACAAAGATTTCTGTTCAGCAGAATTCAGAAACGTGAAAACTGCAGTGTAAGTACTATTATTACTGTATGAAATTTTTATAAATTTAGAAAATATTTTGTAAAATATCACTTGATATATTTAGTATTTGAGGTTATGTTTTCGCTATGAGAATATGTTTTGTGTGTATAACCTACGATTAAGTATGTAACTCTATATTTACAAATCGATTTTTTTGTTATAGATCCTCCAGGCCATCGTACGGTGATGATGCCATAAGCTATGTTCAGTTAAAACGCGATGGCAATCTGTGCGTGGTGAAGTCAAAAATCTGTCCAGAACACAAGGTCCATGGAAAGTTATATAGAGTAACATTAGTAGTTGATGAAGTCAATGAGACAGTTGTTTCGGTGGATTGCCATGACTGTGTTGCATCACAAGGAGGCTGCAAACACGCCGTGGCTTTTCTTATGTGGGTGCATCGCAGGAGTGAAGAACCATCTGTTACATCAGTTGCATGCTACTGGATGAAATCTAAGCTGTCGAAAGTTGGGACTACCATAAAATACTTGACAGCAAAAGATCTATCTAATGCTAAGCCTAGTTTGCCATCAAATAGTGTAGTATTAGACAAGTTTATTGAGGAAGGGAGGAAAAGGCAACTTCACAATTGTGAATTGATCAAATTTCAGGAAGATTATGTGCCTGATATAGTGATTACATTCTCCATGCACAAATTAGTATTTAAATATAAGGAAAAATCCTGTGACACTTTCTTAGAAAAGCTTGTATTAACCGATGCAGACGTTAAACTGATGGAAGAAAAAACAAGACAACAAAGTCAAAGTAGTGTTTGGTACGAACTAAGGTATGGCAGGATTACTGCTTCACGCGCTTATGAATTTTGTAGATGTAGTACAAGTGATGGAACATTGATTGCTCTGATAATGGGTGGAAGAATTCCAGACACACATGCAATGAAACGTGGCAGAATGTTGGAGGATGAAGTAAGGGAAACAGTTTCAACTAAACTTGGAAAAACAATAAATAAATGTGGCCTGTTTATCAGTAAAAAATATCCCATGATAGCAGGACAGACCCCATCTGGTATGGGGTCTGTGAAGAAAGTATCATAGAAATTAAATGTCCAATAAGTAGTAAGACTTACAAAAATTATGTTAATAATGGGAAACCAACAAAAAAATATTATGCACAGATGCAGTTACAAATGTATTTGTCTGGTCTTCACAAAGGCTACTTCTGTGTTGCTGATTGCAATTATAATATAAATAAAAATGTAAATATGATTTATGTGAAATATGATGACAAATATGTTTCAGAATTTATTTTAGCTTTAGTCCATTCATGGAAGTATAATGTATACCCACTATTGTACCAAAGTGTTGTTTAGTTAGTCATAATATGTAAATAAAACAAACAAACTTTTTGTCCATTTTATTTATTTTGTGACATTCCGTTATCACTCTTAATCGTTATAATCATAAGTTACTTAACTAAAGAATCTTGCAAATTAATTAAACCACAGGCAACGGTTATAATAACATCCAGAACTTGAACAAGACTGTAATTCACACATGCATGTGGTTTCAATATGCTAAATTCTCTTAAGCGACGAATTACTCTCTCTACGTGTATTCTTAAACTGGCAATTTGTTTAGTTTCCCTCACCTCAGTTTTTGAGTTTAGCCCCTGTTACAACACTAGGAGGTCGCATTAATTTTACTCCATGTTTCAATAAATATGTTTCTACATGCTTAAAACCTCTATCAGCCATCACACACATACCTGGTTCCAAACATTTAATAAAATCACATGTTTCCACTAGACATGTGTCTGTTACTCTTCCTCCATACCCAGGTGATATATAATTCACCAGACCATTTGGTGTGCATGACACAAGATATTTGATAGTGTTTGCTTTTTTATATTCCGACCAGGAGAGAGATTGATTTAAAGCTTTTGAAGGCTTTTGTATTTCTATCTCTAAACAGTCGATGATGCAACTTACTTGATTATATTTATGCCTAAATGCCATTGGTAAATTATTTTGTATATTAAATTTATCTAATTTTACCAAGAAAGGACGCATTATACTAGCCAACAAAGGAATATTTTTAAAAAATATCTTACTAGCATAACTTGGTGTTATGGAGATGTAGTGTCCCCTCTATTATCATAATCTTTGTATCCTAATAGTGTATAAATTAATTATATTTCATTAATAAAACACAGTATATTCTCAGCAGTCATTTGTTTCACTTCGTTCCCTTACGCCTACCGTACATGGCGACCCTGCCAAAAGAAGGTGTCATACGAGTGTCGCGTATGTGATACCTATCGCACAGAAGTCTGAACTGTTTTGGTATAAGAATGTAAAACAATAAGTGAACTTTAGTTGTTACCAAGATGAACAATTTAGACTCAATCGTAGTACACTTGAGTGCTGTCGTATACATCGAAAATTGTCAATATGGGATCCTCAAAGTCAAAATATGAAGAAAAAGTTGTCGTCCAAAACGCGATCGGTGGGTCCAACCAGGCATCATTTGAGGAAATAAAGTTTCATCTAAGCACCGCTAGCATAATTCTGACGGTAATCGCATTGGTTCTGGGAGTTGGTCTACTTGCTTTCCTGTACCGAATGTATAGGAAGTGTCATAGGCGCTGGATGCAGCAGGAAATACATCGGCAAAACCTGCGCTCTTCCATTTTTCGTCGCGGCCGCCGTGATGCAAAAAGCGAGGACATCGTATGACGGTGCAACATAATCTACGGCATCAGTGAAGTAAAAATGTGAAAAAAAAAAAAATAGTGATGTGCGGGTAAAATAAAAGTGAAATAATTACGTCAAAAAAAAAAGGAAGTGAAAGTGCAGTGCAGATAAGTGCGTATTAAATAATTCTTACTTGCAAATCGGGTAGGACTACTGACTATATTCCTCTCTAGTGGACGCTAAGTTATAAAAAACTAATTTAGTGGACTCTAAGATATAAAAACCAAATGTAATAATAATATAATGTGTGTGTTATGATCTGTAAGTTTTATACTCCATGTGACAGCAATGCTTGGTAAGTTATGATTTTACAATTAAAGGAATTGTATGATAAACTGAAAAATATAAAGACTTATTTGATTAAAATTGGTCCTAAAAGGCGTCAAGGACAAATTGTTATTAATAAGTTAGAGGAGGCAAAAATATTTTATAGCGAGTATTCGTTACTTATAAGTGAATTAAACAAAGATATAAAGGAAGGAAGATTATCTACCCAGGACACCGATTTAGTTATCAAATTGTCCTCCGATTTTCAGTCCTTGTATACTGACATAGAGTTGCTATGTACAAAAAATAAATCTAGTGATTTTAAAGATATTTTTTCTGATATGACCGAAACTAATGTAAACATGGCGGAAACATTCAATTTAAAAACTGCTTTGTCCTTACTTGCTCAAATGAATGACGATGAATTTAATACTAAACAACTGATTGATAACATTGAATACTATGCGTCTGTATTGGAAAAGGATGAATGTAAGCATAAATTGATTCAGTTTGTATTAAAAAGCAGATTGTCACAAGGTGCAAAATTGAAACTAAAGTGTAGTTATTCAACTGTAACTGATTTGATCAATGATATGCGGAAAGAGCTTTTGCCCCAAAAATCAGCCCCTGCCATACAAGATAAATTGCAAAAATGTAGACAAAATAATTTAAATATTCAGGATTATGGTAAGGAAATTACCGAGATGTTTGTGGAGCTGACGATTGCGCAATCCAATGGAAATTCAGATTGTTACAACATTTTAAAACCTCTAAACGAAAAGTATGCCATTAAAAAATTCGCCGATGGGTTGCGTAATCGCAGGCTTAGTACTGTCATTACATCCAGGAATTACACCTCGTTGAAAGACGCAATCCAGGCTGCAATGGAGGAGGATATCGGGTCTGCTTCCACAGCTGGTGAAGTCTTAGGTATGTCCCATCAAAATTATAATAAACCTACCAGTCATAATTTTTCTTCCCCTAGAAGGCAAAATTACCATCGTGGAGGTCAGCACTTTAATAGCAGAGTGTTTTCGCAGCGAACTAATTATAATCCTAATTTTAGAGGTCAAAATCAAGTCCCTATGTCTGTTTCTCGACCAGTACGAAGACCCTGGCAGAATAGAGGTATGTATAATAATAATAACCGTCGTGGAAATAGGTGGATTCGCAATCAACATATGCGCGTAATAACTGAAACGGAAAATAATAGCGATGTTGCGGAAAATAAGTTTTTTCGAGGCTAATAATTTTATCTTAACTACTAGTAGTAATTGTTGCATCAGATTATCTCTAAACAACGTGATTCATTCTTGGTTACTTGATACGGGCGCTACCATTTCGGCTCTTAAATATAAACATGCACTCGAGCATAATCTTCCAATCCATAATGAGAAGATTATTATAAATGGAATTGGTGGCAAAGTCCATGCAATTGGATACACCTATCTACAATTACGAAGTGATGATAAATTATTTAGGCACAAATTTTATGTTTTTGATTCGCTACCATGTAAGGCAAGCGGTATCATCGGCCAAGATTTTTTAAACACGTATAGTGCGATTATTGATTTAAAGAACGATTATTTAACATTAGTAGTAGGAAATAACATAAAATGTAATTTGCGTATACAACGTAATGATAAATACATCTGGAATGTAGCCCCCAGATGTGAATCAATTCATTATATTAAAACTAATTATACTGAAGAATGCGTAGTAATTTGTAAGGAATTATGCGAAGGTCTTTATTTAGCTAGTTCTATAGTCAAACCTTTAAATGGTTTAATACCAATAAGAATACTAAATACTACCGAAAATACGTTAACATTAGAAAATATTGAACCAGAAGTTCACAAACTAAGCGATTACTCGATATGTACATTCAATAAGCCTAATAGCAACGCAAATAGGGTAAAGCAATTATTTTCTTTATTGAAATTGGGACACTTAAATGAGGAGGAACAAATATCTATTGAGAACTTATGTGCTAAATATTCGGATATATTTTATTTACAAGGTGATAAGTTGTCAACCACGGATATTTATGAACACACTATTACTTTAAAACAAAACGTTAGTCCGGTATTTACGAAACCATATCGTTTACCTCACTCACAAAAACAAGAAATTAAGTCTCAAATTGACAAATTACTACAAGAAAATATAATAGAAAAATGCAATAGCAGTTGGTCAAGTCCATTACTCTTAGTACCGAAAAAGTCCGATGATAGTGGTAAAAAGAAATTAAGATTAGTGATAGATTACCGGAAATTGAATAATTTAATCGAAGATGACAAATTTCCACTACCTAATATGTCTGAAATATTAGACGCATTGGCAGGTAGTGTATATTTCAGTCATTTAGATTTATATAATGGGTTTTATAATGTTAAATTACATAAAGACAGTAGAAAATACACCGCATTTGACTCGGGACAATACCAAATGGTGAGGATGCCTATGGGACTGAAAACAAGTCCCGGATCGTTCTCACGCATGATGAATATGGCCATGTCGGGTCTTACCTACGAAAAATGTTTTGTTTACATGGATGATCTAATTATTTATGGTTTTTCATTAGATAACCACAACAAAAACTTACAAGATGTTTTTGAACGTCTTCGTAAGGTGAACTTGAAATTGAACCCGCAGAAATGCGATTTTCTAAAGAAACAGATATTATATTTAGGACATGTAGTCTCTGATAAAGGAATACTACCGGATCCGTCAAAAATTGAAGTAGTTAGAAATTACCCACAGCCCAAAACTACCGATGAGGTCAAGAGATTTACAGCCTTTGTAAATTATTATAGGAAGTTTGTTCCAAATTTTGCCGAGAAAGCTAGCCCATTAAATAGATTATGTAAGAAAAATATTCGTTTTAAGTGGGACGATCAATGTCAAAAAGCATTTGAAACTCTAAAAGAAAGTATTACTTCACCACCTGTCTTAGCTTACCCGGATTTTTCCCCAAATAATCAGTTTATAATTCAAACAGACGCGTCAAACCACGCGATCGGTGCCGTGATGATGAATAAAAATATGAGACCCGTTGCGTTTGCCAGTAGGAGTCTAAATAAAGCGGAGAAAAATTATCCAACTATAGAAAAGGAACTTTTGGCAATTGTTTGGGCGGTCAAACACTTTCGACCCTATTTATACGGTAAAGAATTCAAAATTCAAACTGATCATAGGCCTCTAGTTTATTTGTTTAATATGAGGGATCCGTCGAGCCGGCTGATGAAGTTTCGGCTATTATTAGAAGAATACAACTTTAGTATCGAGTATGTAAAAGGTACAGATAATGCAGCTGCAGATGCTTTGTCTCGTATCAACATACAAGATTTAAAGGAAATGTCTAATAAAATAATAAATGTCATGACAAGAGCGCAAAAGAGAAAGATAGCGCAAACTATGCTAGATCCTTCGGCTAATATCGACTTTACCGACGATTGGTCTGATCAACCAAAAGTCGTAGAGGCGCATATTAAACCTAAGGACCACATAGAATTAGTATTTATTGAAAAAAGGAAATTAAACTCAATAAAACAATTAAATGACGTACGTTTTGAAACTAAAACATTTTGTTATGTTCCTGATAGGAACTCAATTTATATTAAATATATGGATTCTCAATCGCAAATTACCCCAGCGGAATTTGTGAGAGAACTTGATGAAGCATGCTTAAAAAATGGAATTAATGAACTATATTTTGTAATGACTAAAAGAAATAATGTTTTCGTGGAAAAATTATTAAATGAAGTAAAAATATACGGAAGTGCTACTATGCCTAGGTTATGTATATTAAAGGACATTATTAGAATAGAAAATAAAGATGATCAAAAGGTAATATTGAATGACTTCCATCTCTTGCCCACAAGTGGCCACGCGGGTATGAGACGGATGTTATCTAATATTAAAAAATATTATTTTTGGCCAGGATTAGAAAAAGATGTGATTAATTTTGTAAAACGCTGTGACAAATGCCAGCGACATAAGTATTCGACATACGTAAAAGAGCCTATGGTAATAACGTCAACCGCAAACACTGCCTTTGAAAAAATATATTTGGATATCGTTGGTCCATTAGAGCGAGATAATAATAATTATTCATATATTTTGACTCTACAGTGTGAACTTTCAAAATACGTTGAAGCTTATCCACTTATTTCTAAAAGCACAACAGAGGTAGCTAGTACTCTAGTAAATAATTTTATATTGCGATATGGAATTCCGAAGGAGATCGCAACCGATAGAGGAGCAGAATTCATGTCTTCAACCATGAATGAGGTATGTAAACTTTTACACATTACAAAAACTAATTCTACCGCCTATCACCACCAGTCAATAGGTGCATTAGAAAATTCGCATAAACACCTTGGTTCCTTCCTCAGAATTCAATGTGATAACCATCCCGAAATGTGGAGTCAATGGCTTCCATTTTGGTGCTTTTCCTTCAACACGTCCGTGCATAGTGAAACAAAATTTACACCGTATGAGCTTGTTTTTGGGAAGAAATGCTCTCTCCCTAGTAATTTGTTAAGTAATATAATAGATCCCCTATACACTTTTGATAACTACCCTTTAGAACTCAAGTTTCGTTTGCAATTGGCACAAAAGGAGGCTAGAGAAAATTTACTATCTAGTAAAATTAAAAGAAAAGAAATATACGATAAAAATATGAATCCAGTTGTGTATAAACCAAATGATCTGATTCTTGTTAAAAATGAGGTTGGAAACAAATTAAATTGTATTTATTCTGGACCATATGTTGTGATAAAAGATATGTCACCGAATGTTGAAATTATGCGAAATAATAAGCCCGATGTAATACACAAAAACCGAACTAAATTGTATCACTCTAGTTAAGTAATCATAATTATCATGTATTGTGCGTTATCTATGGTATGCAAGAAAAATGCTAATATAATAAGCATTTTCCTTTTTTTCAGGGGGGAGGTGTAGTGTCCCCTCTATTATCATAATCTTTGTATCCTAATAGTGTATAAATTAATTATATTTCATTAATAAAACACAGTATATTCTCAGCAGTCATTTGTTTCACTTCGTTCCCTTACGCCTACCGTACAGAGAAATCATCTGCAAGCTCTTTGAATGAGTTATTTAGCCTAATCTTTTTCAAACACATGAGTAAATGAACTGGAGGAATGTTTGTATTTTTTTTAATTAAGTCTATTAAATAATAACAGTCTTTAGGTACACCTATATAAACACGGGGATTTCTGTTAATTTTAAGTAATGTGCATTGCAGCATTTGAGTTGACTCTTTCTGTTTATCATCTTGTTTCAACTCACAGCAATCTGAACATGATTTTGTTTGAACAGATATAGTTGGTGATGATTCTCCATGTGTAATGGAGGGTGTGTACGAAATATCACTATCAGAATGGTTTTCAGATACAAATATTTTTCTTGAACATTTGTTTATGTTTGCTGTAGTTGCAGTTGGTTTGATTTGAGAAGTGCATCTTGTTATCTTAAATGGCGATGTAGAGACAGATTGGCGATCCGGTTTCAATGGCGATGTCATCTGGTTTATAAAATTAATTTGAGTTTGAACGGCTTTGCTCCTGAATTTGTGTGTGATGTAAACTTGGATGGATTTATTTGCAGTCTTATTTTTTTCTTGTGTAATACTTTCTGTATTTTCATGCACAGCTGAAAAGCAAACACATAAATTAATATCTATTGTAACTTATAATTATAACCCCATAATTAAAACTCAAAGAAATGATTTGATTATAAAGGTAATCCATAATGAGATACACATATATAATGAGATATTAGTACACACATTTAGTACCTCACACGTAAAGTATAAGTACCCATATTGTTTTAATTAGGTACTATTATTAATATGCGATACAATTTACATAAACAGAATAATACTTGAATGATTTACATTTTAAACAGGTTTTTTCTTTCTAGTTCTTTTAGTTGTTGTTATGCTTATACATTACAAAGAAGCATACATACAAAAATTCATTGGTACCTGAACTTGATGATGTCTCTTCAAACTCTAAAGGTTTATTTACACTACTTTTATCTTCCAGATCTTTTATAGATTCTTGAATTAATTCCTGTCTTTGTTTTTTTAGAATATATGGTCGATCGGTGATATCAGATGCTCGTTTTCTCCTATCTGCTTGGCATTCAAATTTAGTGGGTATACAACCTGGTTTCATACGAATTTTCGACACAGAACCCATTATATGATATTCCATATAATTATCCATATCATATGGCAACTGGAAAATGAATAAAGTAATCAATAATCAATCGTGAATATAGAGTCGATAAACAAGTTCTATACATTTTGAGGTTAGATTTACTACCGAAAAACTTGTAATTAATTTTTATTATGTAAAACAATGTCGCAGAATATTATGAATATATGGAATAACGTTACAACTTACATCAAAGTGATCTTCACAGAAATAAATAGATGTATCAAGACTAACAGCTTTAGGATCTCGCCGTGCAAGAGTTAGCCACTTATATCGCATCTTTTTATCGTTTGGCACGTAAATAAACACTTTGTTAGGGATTTTTAGTGATGTATTAGTGCACTGAGGGACCGCACACCACTTATATCCTTTGGAATTCATATTGAAATAATATTTAATATGTTTTATTTGTTGCTTGACTCTAATGTTTACAAGTTTGCTGAGGGTTGACGTCACAGCAAATGTCAACGCCGGTGACTACGTTTTGGCGCGAATAAATGAACGTTTCATTAAAATTTAATTTTTTTCAATAATTATTTTATAAATTACAGAAATATTATATTTTTTAGTAATAGTAGATACTTAAGAATATTTTAAAACACATTTTCAAAAATTGTCGTCTTGCCCATTATATTAATTCTACTTACTCAATGCAATCCGTTCGGTGCGCAGCGCATACATTACAACTAGCAGTAAGCGATGCCTTGCGTGAAAGCGATGTTGTCGACGTGATTGAAGCTGCTAGAAGGATTGTACACCATCTTAGGACGCCATATTGGCTACAGAACGTAGCAAACAAACACATAATGTCGAAGGTCGCCAAATCAACAACATAAATATGCATTTAAAAGAATTTAATAATTATCCTCGTATCAAATCGAAAGAAAACATTTTATAGTTTTGAGAAACTAAAAAATCAAGTGGTCCACAACTATATCAACTTGCGGTAACTATTTTAGCCATTCCAAGCACTCAAGTTAGCGTCGAACGACTTTTTTCAAGTTTAAAATTCATATTAAGTGACCTAAGATATAATCTTACAGAAAATATAGTTGAAGATATATTAGTGCTTAGACATAGTACGAATAAGTAATGAAAATATGTTTGCCTTAGCACATTAAGGTTTTTTTTGGTGACGGGCAAAAAATCATCGTATGACTTTCTCTCGCTCTTGGGCGGAGCGAGAGCCCTCTCGCTCCGCCCAAGACTCTTACTGACTAAAAAGCCCGCTCCATTTAGATTTTGCCTTTAGTACCCGGACCAGCCTTCTCTTTCGAATCAACGCCAGTCGCGGTAGGCTTCGGCCTCCCCAGGGCTTCTACGAATTGCTGACATACTCCCTGAGGCGCGCGGAAATGGCGCTCAACGCGGCGACATGGGCTCGGTTCGTTAAGTTACCAGACGATCGGGTGGCAAGCTACCCATTGCTCACCGCCCGCAAGCCTGCGCCTACGGTGGCTGGAAATCGGGATTAGAATCCCGACGACGCACGACGGCGAAGGCGGCGGTCACGCCCGAGACGCAAAAGTGTTTTTGCCTCTCGCGATCGGCCGCCTCCATAGTAGCGGGGTTCAAAGTTCCCGGGGTAAGTTGTTCCAACGCAAATATTTCCAAGAAGGAAAGAGATAGCAATATGCATGAAGTTGGTCGCGCATCACTGCACTATAGCGCTAGTTTGGTAGCCATTTTAGTTTCACCGCGACTCGGCCGTGAGGTAGTGGCAGCAAGCAGGTGGCTAAATATAACGTGAGTAAATATTTTGGTATTTTAACGTTTTGGTCTAAATTCGTTAATTATGTATCTATTTCAAAGCGGATTATCTTAATTTATTGTAAATTTTATAATGAATGCCTTATTGTCGTCTAATTAGTGTCTTTGTTATGTACTGTGGTAGAAAGTGAGGTTATTTAAAAAATGTAATTTGGGGCTCAAAGTTCCGCTGGCTGGGGGCTGTTTGTGCCGCGGAACAACCAACCCCATCGAAAAATTCATTATGATGTAAATATAATACTATTGTTGTCGAATAATTTTATTATAATTTCTTTTTAGTTTTAATGTTTTTGATTTGGGGGCCCTTTATTATATAATCTGTTTATATCAATAGTTAATGTTGTTTCAGGATGAGAAACTACAAACGAAAAACAGAGCGCGGCAAAACGTCTGTAGCATTACTACAAAGAGCTGCAGAGGCTGTTGTTAAAGATGGGCGTAAAATAAAAACAGTTGCAAGGGAACTAGATATATGCCATATGACATTATTTCGATACATAAAAAAACTAAAAACTGGTGTTACCCCTACCGTGGGGTATTATTCGCGACAAGTTTTTTCGACTGAACACGAAGGAATATTGTCTGAATATTTATTGAAATGTTCATCTATTTACTTTGGTCTCTTGCCAGAAGAGGTTAGAAAATTAGCCTATAAATGTGCCATGCAATTCGGAATGAAAAATATACCTGCTTCATGGCACAAAAATCAGACAGCAGGAGCTGATTAGTTTACTGGATTCATGAAAAGAAATTCAACTCTGTCAATAAGAACTCCAGAGGCAACTAGTGTTGGTCGGGCGTCAGCTTTCAACCGGCACAATGTGAGAGAATTTTTTGAGAAACTGGGAGACATTATGTTAAGACACAAGCTGCAGCCCTCAAGAATTTGGAATTTGGATGAAACGGGAGTAACCGCAGTTTTAAAACCAAAGAAAATAGTTGCATCAAAAGGTACTAAGCAGGTCGGAGCCATTGTGTCATCTGAACGAGGAACCTTAGTAACCGTGGAATTATGTGCAAATGCAGCTGGTATTACCATACCACCAATGTTTGTATTTCCTCGCTTAAAATACAAAGATTTATTTATAAAGGAATACCCAGAGAGCTTAGGAGAAGGAAACAGCTCTGGATGGATGACAGTACGAAAATTTCTTATATTTATTGATCATTTCATTAAACATACAAAGCCTACTCCTGATGATCCTGTGTTGTTATTGTTAGACAATCATTCATCACATGTTGACATTGAAGTGGTCGAAAAAGCTAAAGCTAATTCTATAATAATGTTGTCTTTTCCACCTCATTGTACGCACCATCTACAACCACTTGATGTTGGTGTAAATGCACCATTCAAAAGTTACTGTGCAAAAGCACAAGAAAACTGGTTACGTAACAATCCAGGAAAAACAATGAGCATATATGAGATACCCGGAATTGTAAGGCATGCTTGGCCTCTCGCAGCAACCCCGAATACCATAATTAATGCTTTTAAAAAGGCAGGCATTGTGCCATACAACCCTGACATATTTACAGACGAAGATTTTGCTCCTTCTTCTGTGACAGACCGCCCAAAGCCTGACACTTGTTTGCTTCGAAACTCTTTGTCATTTGAGGAAACAGCAGCGAAAGAGACAGAAAACATGCAACAAGAATCAACGTCACTATCATCAGTGTCAGATGAACCCCAACCCGGATCCTCCAACATACAACGCTTGTCAAACATTAATGTTATTCAAGCCACATCCAGCACATTTTCTCTTGAAGCTATAAAGCCATTACCAAAAGCACCACCGCTAGGCATCTCATCGAAGCGTCGCAAAAGAAAGACAGCAATATTAACAGACACTCCCGAAAAAAATGCTTTAGCAGAAGAAAAAGCAAGAAAGGAAAAAGCGAAAATCTCAGAAAAAGAAAAGAAAATTAACAAAGTAAAAGGTAAAGGAAAAGGGGTTGGTAAAAATACAGGCAAAGGTAAGAATCTTGTTAAACGAAAAGTTCTTCAAGATGATTCTGAAAATGATGCCCTGGAGTGGTATTGCATTATTTGTTGTGATTCTTATTCAAATTCACAACCAAGAGAGCAATAGATTGAATGCATTTGTGCAAAAACTGGGCTCATTTGAAATGTTTAAAGAATGAGGACGTTCAATCATACGTTTGCCCGAACTGTGTGTCAGACGAAGAAGTTTTAGGTTAATGTTTTTATTATAAAAAAGGCTGTGTTTCAAAGTCCATTAGAGGCGATTTAAAAGAAATTTCAGTTTATTAATAATTTAAGTGCAGCGTTACTAGTTATTATTAGTTTGTTTTTTGATTGTCAGAATGGGCATTTAGTTTTGTTTTTAGTAGGAGTTTAAAAGTTCATTTCAGGAGACTGAAAACAGATTTATGAACGTAATTTTTAATGATTGATTTTTTTAGGTTTCCTAATGTTAACGTTAACTGTGATATTTAGACGAGTCAATCTATGTTCATTAGTTCGTTTTCCTCTCATACTTATTGGCTATGTGCAAAGCGAGTAGTGACGGACAGATAACGACCGCAGCGCACAACACGGCAGAAATTGGAAACAAATGGGAATGATCAGCTGTCAAATGTGTTGATTGCAGTTCAAAATTAAAGCAAAGAAATGGACCATGGCTCGTATTAAGTAGCTCTGGCCGTTATGTCGCAGTTCTTCCACATTTCTTACATGCTGGGCATTTCTTACATACTAATTTATTGCCTTTTGACTAAAAAAGACTGAAAACGCATTAAAACAAGGATTGGAGGCTGAAGTAGAGTTAGCGAAAACAAAGTATATTGAAAATAATAAAGAAAAAGACTTGCACACCAAAGAAATCTGTAAAGTAAATAAGAGAAAACCGAAATCAAGTGAGACTAGCGTCATGAAAGGAGATGATGATGGAGACTTTGGTATGATAGATCATGAATGACATTGATGATACAGTCTTGGTTCGGTATTTTCTTAAAAAAATTGGAAGTATTTTGTTGGTGTAGTAGAGAATATTAATATTGAGTCCAGAATGTACTCCATAAATTTTTACATAACTGTTTATTCAGGCAAAACTCCCACATTTACTGTACCAAAGCACCACGACAAATATGTAGTGCCTTATCTTTCACTAGCTGTTGCACGCGACTTCGTCCGCGCAGAATGACTTCTGGCAGAATTTAGGCTTTTGAATTAGACTTTACCAAGGGACATTCCACGGTATCAAAAAAATGTCATCAGACTTCATTCAGTACTTAGGTTATTCTTATTGTGAAATGAATTTATTTTCGTGATTTCAAAAAATAAACAATCCCAACAATCAGGTTTCAACCCGTACAGAGCACGCCTCGTGAGGTTTCAGTGATTAAAACTATTCTATCAAATGGATTTCAATCAAATGGATTTAGTGATTTAAAAGATATAGAGTGCCGGAATTTTAACTCATATCATACCTTGTTTCCTAAGTGTCAAACTATCGTTGTACCGAATTTTTACCCATTTCGAAAAAAGGAGGAGGCACTATATTCAGATTTTCATCAGGTTAGGATCTGATGATGGAATCCTAGGAAAAAACCTTAATAGATACCTAATATTAAGCTGTTGACAATTTTGTGACTATTAAGTTATATCACCTAGCCTATATTATGTTAACCCGATCTGTCAGTAATAATCATACAAAATTTATATTAGATCCATGATGTAATTTTTAGATCATCCCGGACATACAGACAAACAGGTAAAAATTCTAAAGTTCATATTTTGGCTTCAGTATCGACTGTAGATCACACCCAAGTATTCTTCTAAAAAAAATAGTCAATGTAGGTACGATTTTGACTTTTCTACGATTTTACTATACTGGAGTTCATGGCTATTATGATATTGGAGTTCATGGCTACCAATAGTAAGCATAATGTTAGTGAAATAAAAGGAGCTAAAATGCTGATGTAAGTAGATTGTTATTTTTTATATCGACGTCTTATTTTTGTCATTGTATGTAATTTTCTAATATCTTATGATGATGAGTAGGTACTAAACGTTTTGTATTAGTAGCAGATGTAGCTTAGAAAATTACCTAAAAACTTTACGAGATTGTCTCCCGTACAGACTTGTATGTGCAGCAGTTTATACTGCTGCCTATCCAGTCTTAGATACTTTGCATAAAAGAACGTTTATCTTAGTGCATTGTAATAAATTAAATTAATTATAAACGTAGTTTGACCCAACAGGTTGTGAAGTTTATTACATTGTGTGTCAAATAGATGAAATTAATGATGTTATTGTAGACTCGGTATGTCAAGACTGTGCAGCGTCTGCGGGTAAGCAAAATATAAAGTAGGCACTTTATATTTTGTAAATACTACAACAAGCATAAAAAGTAAAATTATAATTATTGTATTACTTTCTTTCTTCAACCATAAGTTTATCTCAATGAACGAACACTATGTTAAATTTAATTTAATTGTTTCGTCAGGCGCAGCTTATTATACGGACCTTGTGGAATCTAGAACAAATTTCCGTGCGTTTAGGCGCTTTTGCCATACCTATTACTGGGAGCAAGTATAACAGCTCACACAGGACCCACTTACATTTTAGTCAAATTTCCGTGGTGCTTGGCGACTGGGCTTCACCCAGTCGTACAGTCTCTTTTCTTTGTGCCTTTAGAAGTGCCTTTGTGCTGCTATCGCTAAGTGTAACTATCGCTTTTTTTTCTTCTCCTCTTATAATATCTTCTGATTCACTTCGTTGCGAGAACCAAGACAGTTATTTATGTTCCTGCGATGCGTCGGACTTCAGTGTTCTGGTGTTTTCATGGTTGTATCTACTGTAGATCCTGGCTTACAGGATTTACAGCAGTTTTGGAAGTTGTGGCGCGCTTGTCCCTATAAAAAACAAATTTATCTTTAAATCACTCACATTGAACATTCACGCGATGGGTGCGTCTCATTTCATAATAGTGAATTCTGATAATAAGTGTGGTAAGTTGATAATTATAGCTGAGGCGATATTGAAGCCCGACCCGCAGGGGAGGCAGCAAAAGGGAAACTTATCAAAAAAGAAACACCATCTGAGAAAGTAAAAGAAGCGGTCGATCATATTAAGTGCAAGACTACACGGCGCGCTGCGTCGTCGCAACGCACACATGACGGACAGCAGCCCCCGAGACGAAGCAGGAGGGGGTGTACTTATTGCGGCAACGAAGAGGCAGCGCTCTGTTGCTTGTGCGTTGATATGGGAGGATACACGCAAGTTCATTTCATTTTTTATCTGCGTACTTTTGTATTCGGTTTTATTTACAGGGTAAAATGAGCACCATTGAAGAAATTGATATTGATTACTTCGTCACATTGATTCAGGCAAGGAAAATTATATGGGACAAGTCACTCATAGATTTAAAAAATAAAAATTTAAAAACTTAAGCTTGGGAACAGAAATCAAAGGTTTTATTTCCTGATTACGAGAATTTCACACCAAAACAAAGTTGGTAAGCTTACAAATTATATTTATTGTTTTTTTTATATTAAATACTATTATACTTTATTTAGCTGCCAAGGCAGAGTTCCTCTAGTCATAAAATAAGTCGCAAAATGCTGTCTTATGAAATTCTTCATCTGCGGGTTGTATTGGGAGAAAATCATCAACACTTATAGCAAATTTATCTCTTTGTCTTAAACCATCTCAATCAGCGACAAAATTGTGTAGCACACAACATGCTATTGTTATGTCAGTAGCGAAGTTATAGGACAAGTCTATCGGTCTGTGAAAAATACACTATTTGTTTGCCATAATCTCAAAAGCGCATTCGACATACGACACCTCCAACGTATGTTGTCGTAAGTATCAAATTAACGAAAATTACATTTTTAGATTTACAACTACTTTATAACATAGACTATCGCTTGATCTAATTAAAAGAAATATCGAGCCGTTACCGCCAAACTATCGTAAGCGACACTTTTTTCAAAAAACCGTTTTTTATCGAAATTAGTATTTCAGACCGTAACGGACCTATCCCTGTTGGTGTTTCCCGCCAAAAAAAACCGTTGCAGAGTTATAGCAAGTGCTAAAATTATCGTGCATACACATTGTTTCTAAAACTTAGCGTAAGCGACACAATGCATTTTATCGTAAGCGACATTAGCGCGCCACCGTAGGCGTTTACTATAAACAAACCTGTAGTGACATGTTGTTTATTTCCGCAAAAGTTCTGATGCAACAAACATCGCTCCCGTTGTTTTGATTGTAAAAAAATAGATTTACGCATAAAAACGTTTTAAATAGTGTTTATTATTGTGTAGTTAATGTGTTAATTCAATTAGAAGTGTACTTCGAGAGGAAACTCAACAGTAATTTATCAAATAAATCAGCTATGTCGACTCCAGCAGCGAAGGTATGTATTTTGTATTAATTTTGGTACTTAAAGTAAGAATAATTAAATACTTACGTGTATCATTTATGCCTTGCCCGTTATAATATTATTTCACCTAAAATTATTGGTGTGTTGGTTAAAATTTGTTAAATTAGGTTCGTACTGCGTCTATTTTACCTAAGTTAAAATCACAAAAACTAAAGAGAGCATTACAGAAAATTCCTTAACTATCTCCCAAAGGTGGTTTCACACATTGTATGTAATTGGGCTATATTTTATTGGTTGTAACTTTTAATTTTGGTTAAGATTGTATTAAACAGCTGATCGAGTTTTACAAACTTATAAGCAAACTTGCGAATCGAAAAAAATACTCAAAATCTATAGATCAAAAATGTGTTATTTACCTAAGAAATCCACCACAGATACATCGTTAAAGTGTTTTCATTAACCTCGTTTACCCATATTTGTTATATTTACATAGTTGATACTAATATTGATACTAATACTATAAAGCTGAAGAGTTTGTTTGTTTGTTTGATCGCGGTAATCTCAGGAACTACTGCTCCGATTTAAACAAGTTTTTCAGTGTTAGATAGCCCATTTATCCAGAAAGGCTATAAGCTGTAAAACAACACGCTACGACCTATAGGAGTCGAGCAGCGGGTGAAACCACGCGGGAGTAGCTAGTATATAATAAAGTTGCAGCATGCGTCTGTCTGTCTGTCGGTTTAAATGTTTACGCATTATGTGATCATTTTTAAGATAATTACTTGTTTGTTACAGTCACGGATGAAGAAAATTATGCAGCTAATAACACCACCACTCCCCGCGCAAGAAAGTTATCCTGAAACTGCTTTTACCGAGAACATACAGCAAGATACAGAGTCAGTTTTGGATTCATACTTGCCACCAGGCAACAACAACGAAACTGATATAGAATCAATATTGAGTGGTGCAACATCACCATCCATAGTCGATTTTATTTGTAATACCGATTTAAATTTTGAGCAAAATACCAACTCATGTACGATATTGCCTTCAACTAAACTTGTTGAGTACAGCGATTCTGATACTGACAATTCTTACACTCTAATGGATTTAGATAATCAAAATGAAATACCACATGTAGACATAACAAAAAATGGCCAAACTAATTTAGAGGACCCTGCTATGTCAACTTTCTTTAATCGATTAATAGAGCCTAGCACCAGTTCACTGTCTGACCAACAAGAGCAAAACGTGTTAAGGAAGTCCTTCGAGTCCCACAACGTTAGTGATTACATTGATAGTGAAGATTCATGGAAGCCAGCCTCATCGTCTAGTGGTTCAGATGAAGATGAGTCAGCTCAACAAATTGAAGAAGAAACGAATGTTGGTAAAAGAGGATATAGGAAAATAAAACATTTACCAAAACGTCTATTATCAAAAAAAAATCGCAGTGCGGCTATGGGGAAATCTGTTCAACCTAATCCTTGCATGAATAAAAGATGCGGTAATTCATGTGCAAGTAAATTTACTGAAGACGATCGTACTAATATTTTTGAAAACTATTGGGGATTAGGTTGTGCTAAAAGACAGAAAGATTTTCTATTGTCATGTGCTAAGGAGAAACCAATTGGCAGATAAAGAGCTAATAGTAATATTCGCACAAAATCATATGATTATTTTATAAACCACAATGGACAGAGTATTAAAGTATGTCAACAATTTTTGCTTAAGACCCTAAACATATCCCAAATGTCTTTGAGATACACCCTTGAAAATGCCAATACCATTTTGAATACCACTCTAGAAGGCAGCAGAACCCGTCATCCTCATAATAAAGCTGGTGAAGTGGAAGTTGCACAGATAAAATCGTTTATTGAGATGTTGCCCGCAGTTCCATCCCATTATTGTCGCAATAAAAGCACAAAAGTCTATTTACCTCAAGAGTTTCAGAACCTATCGTTTTTGTATACACTGTATGTTCAACATTTGAAAGAAAATAATCTAGAATCATCCATTTTATCAAAAAGAGTATTTCGTCATATATTCAAAACAGATTTTAATATCGGATTTCATTTGCCTAAAAAAGATAAATGTATGTTTTGTGGGAAATACAAAAATTTGCCATCTGAAAACAAACCAATTTTTGAACAAACCATTGAATATAAAAATCACATGCTGGATAAAGAAAAATGCAAGCTACTGTTTTTAGAAGATCAAAAAATTTCCAAAATAGCGGATTCTAACGCCTTATGCGTGAGCTTTGATTTACAAAAAGTCCTGAATACGCCACATGGTAAGAGTGTGACCTTATATTACTCAAGAAAATACGCATATTACAATGAAAGTATCTATGAAAGTGGCACAAGGAATGGATATTGTTATGTGTGGGGTGAAAGCCAGGGAAAAAGAGGCTGTAATGAAATAGTTACAGTTCTTTTTAATTATTTGAATATGTTAGATCAAAAAGGTACCCATACTATCGTCAATTTATATTCTGACAGTTGTGCTGGGCAAAATAGAAATCGTGCTATGATATCCATGTTAATTTATTTTTTGAAAACTGCAAAAAATATTACTCAAATAAAGATTACTTATCTTTTACCTGGACACACCATGATGCCTGTTGATTCTATTCACAGCACCATTGAAAGTTTTGTTCGTAATAGAACAGTATGGGCTCCATCTGAATGGCCGACTATGATTACTAATGCCAGATCTAACCCTAAAGGCTACGTAGTAAATGTTTTAAATTATGGAGACTTTAAGGATTGGAAGTCCTATTCACAAGCTTTATTACCAGCCAAATTCAAAATAAATTTTAATTCGTTGAGAGTGGTGCATTTTCACAAAAATAATCCTGTTGTTTTATTCAAATATGGATTTTCCGAAGATTGTGAACATAATACACTTAACTTGGACTTCGTCATAAGATCAAGAGCAAGCAATGCTATTGTACAAAAAGGACCCGCACCCTTATACGACAACGAGCTCAGTATTTCAGCAGCTAAATACAAAGATCTAAAGGAGCTATGTAACAAAAATGTAATACCAAACAGATACCATGAAGAATACTTGAGTTTGAGGCATAATGAAACCATACGTGACACTTTACCTGAAACGGATGAAGATGACTCAGATAAGGAGAATTGAAGTTCTCAAATGTTTTTCTAGAATATCTTTATTTTTAATAATATTATACCTACATAATATTTTGATTTAAAACCACGATTATTGAATCGTGATTCACTTATTGAAGTGGCGTTAATTGATTTGTACAAGAAGAAATTTCTCATTTCATTTTATAATCTTAGTAATAAGTATGTATAAGTTAATTTGATTTCATTGTTCCTCACGATTACTAAATTAATAAATATTTTTTGATTATTATGTGGATATTTCATTTAAAAACCTTTTAAAATGGCATTTTTTTAACAATTACAATTTCTCGGACATAGTAATTTTGATAGGTAATTTTATCGTAAACGCCCGAATATCTATATACTGTGACAGCAAAAATATTGTAAGCGCCATAATTCGCTTAAATACTAATTATTTTTGTTTTATTTTCAGTCGTATATTTAGATATCTAAAAATCATTAACGTATGTCATTTTTCATGTTATTAGCACACTTCTGATTAAAAATATTTAAAAAAAACCTTCTCCTGTAAAATTTGTTTTTTGTCGGTTACGCTAAAGTGGCGGTAAGGGCTCGATATATTTCGAATAGAACCAAAGATACTAAGACTGCATGTTATCGTATGTTCATCTTTAGCATAGTAGAATATTGTATAGTGCAGTTAATGCATGGTACGCGGGGCGCGGGGGGCCGCTGCGCCGCGCGACCTAATAGTAAGTATTAGTCCCGATTGCTTACGCGGGAGTGGTGCACGAGCGCGGTCATCGTTGCATATTTATTCATTTTGTAGTGATTTATCTTATATAATAGACTGTATAGGGCATATAGGTATCAACCATGTCATCTAGGTCGAGACGAATGATTGATGCAGTGATTCAACCGGCAAATCAAATGATACGTTCGATTTGGAAAAACCGGTAAACGCTATCATTCGCTTTGTAGTGACGATTTGTGCACCTCCATCAGTTTTGTGGAGGAAGCTGCAAGGATAGAAGGTAAGTGACATGTTTTAGAATAATAATAATGAATAAATGAAATAATTGTCTAAGCAATATGAAATGGTTTAATATCCATAGTAAAATATCGTAAGTATAACTTACCATAACATACGTCGATTTAAGATAATCCTCAAATATCGTAAGTAAATACTTACAATACTTTACTATTAAAAAAAATATATAAAAATGTGTTCCGCATTTGTACTTGCGATATTTTACGTTGGGATTTCTTTCTGTTTTTATATAAGGTACATGAGGGTATTAAGGCCTAGCTAAGGGAAATCTGTTGTAAAATAAATACTGATAATAGAATCAACAAGTTTTTTTAGGTAATCAGTCGTTTATTTATCCAACTACAAAATTAAAACAAAAAATAGCAACTTCTGCATGATACTTAAACAGAATTGAACGTTTTCTAAAACTCTCTTATTAGGCCTTGTTATAATTAGGTAGGGTAACAAGGCCTGCTTCTTAAACCATGCAATTAATCAACTAAAACCACATAATTTGGTACTTGAGACCAATCATCATCCAGTTAATGGCAGAATAATACTTTATCATCTTAAGAATTAAATGAGTAGCCTCATCTAACAACCACCAGGGCATTTTTTTAAAGGGGGGAAAATCATCGAATGACTTTCCCGCCTGAGTGAGGCGGGAGGGAGTTTCAGACTACTGACTAAAAATCATCTCTTACTGACTAAAAATCATCCCGTTCCTACTCCTGCCCTTCGAGCTGGAGCCCCGGTAACCCGTTAAGCTCTCTGCGGCTCCGCATCAGTCCTATTGGGCCTCATCCGTGGTGGTTGGATGGCTCTTTGAGACGCGGAACGCGAAGCGCCGCATGCTCAGGTCTTGTTCTTGTCGGGCGGCGAGCTACCCATGCTGGCTGTCAGCAGGCCCGTGCTTACGGTGGCCGGAGATCGTCCTGCGATCCCCGATGCCCGGAGTGTCCTTCGTGGCGGCTGGGCTATAAGGAGGCACGCGCCCCGCCTCCTTCTTAGCTAGCTGGACTGCTTCGCAAAAGGAGTAGACCGCACGACCGTTTGACCCCCCGGGGTTGGGTAGGAGGCGCTTAAGCGCAGCCCCCGTCCTTTCCAACTTAGGAACCAAACGTCATAAATACATCCACCAGGGCATACGAAGTCATCATACCATCATAGTCCGATAACTGATTATGCTCTTCACAGGATCAGCTTCTTGTTCTGAATTCATTATAGGCTTATGACCCAAACTTTTTACCAAAATATCACTTTGGAGATGGTTTCTTATTGTTCTCCTAGGAATTTTGTATCGTTCTGCAGCCGCATACGCAGGTACTCATGATTCCTCTCTGTACTGCGCATACAGCTGAGACCAAATGATCTTCTGACCACAATGCTGGTTTTAGGAGGCATCGTGAACATAGTAACTGTGAACAATGTATGATTTACTGAAATAGTTTGAAAATAGTGCAAATATTAAAACATACCTATCTATAAGTATAATAAGGCCTACTACAAAATTTTACAGGCCTTATTACACATAGGTAAGGTATTTATGGAAAACGAAATAAATACAATTTGGACTGTAGAACGTTAATGAATAAGGCAATGTAGGACGAGCATAAGTTAACGATAATATAGACAGTAAGTGCAAGGAGATAACTGTAATAATTTAAGAAATACTTACGTTTTACCGGAGCCAATATTTGTAAAAACGTGACGTGCGGCTACTCTTGATTACGTTTAACACACCATTAGCAAAAGCGAGTGAGATAGCCAACGTTTGCCGCCTGGTGGCGCCTTGTACGTGGAATATACATGTCTGTGCTTGAACTTGAGCGCGAAATCGTATTCTAAGTAAGATTTTTGATTTTCAGGCCTTATTAGCCGACAGGCCTTAATACCCACATGTACCTTACTATGAGATATTTTACTTTGATATGAAACATAATTTATTATATTAAGTATTCTTTAAAAAAAAACTCACGAAAAAGAAAATTGACGACATTCGGAGCATGTTCAAATATATGCCAGCTGAAAATAAAATGTATATGGAGACTCTTATCAGAAGCCAGAAGACAAGAAAGTTATAGGAAAAAAGAAACAAAAATAATACTAACACAGCTATTTCGTTTTTCATAGAATTAATAAAACAGTTAGTTTAAGTTGAGTAAACTTTCTAAGATTTCGATGTTATTGTGGGGTAAGACTTGGAACGGTCACATTAAGGAAAAGCTGTCTTCAAACAAGAGAAGTTGCATTCCAAAGCTCACCAGCTGTGTATTTGCCCAGCATTATAACACCAAAGTACTCCGTACCTCATAAAACAATCAGTCTAGACGAGATTCATTTCTTCAGTTCCTGTCAAGGTATTCAATACCATAAGACAACAGTGAAGTGAAAAATAGTGATCGTCATTTTGTGAATGTGCAAAGTGTTAGTATAGGAACTATTGTTATTTACGCTATTTTAATTTTTATATTAATTTTAGTTGTGTTATATCGCTATATAAGTATATTACTGCTTAAGCTTAGACAAAATCATCAACTTCATGTTACAAATTCGGATGGTGATTTTGTACTTATGGAGGGAGCAAGTTATGTATAACCAATCAGTACCATGAGCAATTACCGTAAACAGTGATCACACCATACCACCCAAGAAGGCCTATTAGGTTCTCTTAATCAATAACGTCCAAGAGTGATCTGTCAGCAACTGTTTCTCCAAATCAGTAACGTCCAAATGTAATCTGTCAGCAACTGTTTCTCTTACCCCCTGGCCTCAGCCAAGCGCGGCGCGGATTGCGGCACGACAAGCGGTGAGCGGGGAAAACAAATGGTAGACAATGTATGAAGTATGCCACAGCTAACGGCGACGCGAATTGCGCGGCATGCGGCGGCGACGGGCGGCGCGGTGTGCGAGTGAAACAAATGCACTCGGGAGTATCGAGGCGGCCACAGCCAGAGCCAGGGCCATGCAACTTCCATACATTCCGCCGACGAAAAATTTCCATACAAAGTAACGCCATCTACTGAATAGAAACGGATATTATTTAATTTTTTTGCACAAAATGTCACAAGATGGCAGGAGTTATGCATCTATTAATCTGTGAAATTTTAAAAGAACATTATAACAATTTTCTTTGTTCAAATATATTACAAAATTTTGTTAAAATATTTGCTGTAATTTTGATGATAAAAAATATAAAAAATGTAAAATGTTATTAATTAATATAATGGCAACACCATAATTTAGTTGAATGAAAGTTTTGAATTTGAAACTTCGTCCACAAACTTTTCTTTGTTTGTTTGTTCGGGACGATTCGCTGTTTTTGCTTGTTTTTCTGAAAATTTTCTATTACTTTGGCTTTCTTTATACGGATTCTCAGATTCTAGCATACTTGTGACCCCTTGGCTTTGAAATTGGATATCGAAACTGCTTTTACGACTTACTTTGGCTAAACATTTGGACCTTTGGCTGCTTACGATTTTGAATATTTGAATAACCATGCCTGATAAATCCAGATTCAAATGTTTTTTCCGGTGCATCAATGATGGTAAGTTAATAAAAACATCTAATAACTGACCTAATGAAATTATAATTTTCTTTAACATCACTTTCTTTTACCAGATAGATATGTAGGTATATTGTGCCATATTGTATTCCAAATTCATTCCATTTTCACTAACTGGTACTGTGTAAATATAAAATTTTAATTATGTTAAGCAACAGATTATCTTATTATCTACATTTCTAGATAATATTATGAATATATGCATTGCACGTACTATTTCAGGCCCGTTTCATCATTTTCCAAATCCCGAAAGCCACAATCTGCATGAAATTGGAAGATTTTCTAATTGGAAGGCCGTGCTAGATGTGGCAACGCGGGAGAAGGGCGATTATTATATATACAGCAATGTAAGACTTTGCAACAAGCACTTTCTGGACTGCTACATCCTACCGAGCCGTCGTTTGACTAGAAATGCTGTTCCCACGTTAAATTTAGGTATGTTTTTTAATTGTAGTAGTAGTATACAAATAAGGATAAAGTGTTTTGATTGAAAAAGGGTTCCACTTCAATGATATATCTATACGGTAATATTCATTGTTGTCTGCTTAGATTATGAGTAGATTACAACAGCACACTATTTATCAGTTTCACAAATAATAGTATTTGACCATGAATTAATAATATTTTCAGAGCAAGAAACAGAACCATCTACACTACCCATATTGGAAAATGAATATCCAACATCGAACATCACCAACCCAGAACATTCAGGTTAGTAGATAATTTGTAACACCAATTACAATTGTCATCAAATAAGAAACACGATTCGATTCGACTCGAGACAATTGTTAATGACGAATTCCTTAAATATTATATTTATTTAAAATACATGTAATCATACATGGGACACTACGTATCAAGAATACTACTATTAATGGCATGGAATACTACATATTAAGAAAAAATTACTTAGTATTAAATATGAAGGTCTACATAAAAAATGAAATACATTACTTTGAATTACATTTTATTCTGGTTAAAGAAAAGCAGAGGTAATTTAGTAGGTGCTGTTGCATGCAAAGAGCATGCAATTTAGTAGGTGCTGTTTATTTTGTTCTTTTTTTTTTGTTCAACCTAAAAACTGACAGCCTCGTTGCTTGGTCGAGTAGTCATAAGAGCAACTGCCGAGCAATTCGGTTCGATTCCCCAATTGTGTATATTTTTTAGAGATTTCTATTCTAATAATTTAGTGTAATATTCTTTTTCTAGTAATATTTTGCTAATAATTAATTTTTAATTTAATGTTTTAATTAAATATAATATTTGATTTACTTTAGTCTTACATATTCATTTAATTTAATTACTGTATTTTATTATATTTTTATATTCATAAACTGTATTAACAGCTAATAGAAACTAACTGCCTCGTTGGTCGAAGAGTCGCTAGAGTAAGGGCCGAGAGCCGAGCAAGGGCTCTCGGGTTCGAATCCCACTTTTGGGGAAAATTTAATGTAATCATTTTAATTGTATTTTTTTTAAATAAATTTTGATAATATGTGATGATATTTATAGAAAATTAATATAATAATATATTTATATATATTATCGGTTTATTTTATTTATCGTTTTCACTTTTGAATATGATCGTTTGTGACATATTATTTTGTATAAGTATGTATTATAAATTAATTAAATATCTCACAAGCACTCAAGTTATTGTGTAATCCGCGGTTATCTTAAAAAATACATGGCTTTATTCATAATAATTAAAGATTATGCAAAATTTATTGCTTGTAGGTATGTCACAACAAGTGATTGTGTTGGCTGATACTACTCACAAGGTTTTGGGTTTGATTCCTAGGTTGAGGAAATAGTACTCTTTATTTTGCATTAGGAATTTATAAGCAGCAGGACGTACGAATGTATTTTCTCTAACAATTCAAAAACTTTCTAGACCATGTACAATAAAGTATATAATAACATAATTATATTTACTGATTGCCTCATTTCCCGAGTAATCGCAAGTGAAACTGCCGGGCAAGGGGTCTCGGGTTCGATTTCCGGGTCGGGCAAAGTATTACTGTTTGTTTTTTTAATTCTCAGAATTAGCATGGAGTCTGGAATTGGGACTGGTATATGGTAATAGGCTCACCCCCTATTATATGGGACTCAAAACATAAATAGTAAAAAGTGAGTGTTACATTTGTACAGTGGCATTAAGTGCCGTAATGTGCACCTCTGCCTACCCCTTCAGGGATAAAGGATAAAAGAAAACTGTTATGTATTATGTATTTATATTTACGTGTTATTTTCATTTTCAGAGCAATATACTGTGTTGGAAACCAACCGACCGACTTTTCCCGAAAATGAACAACCTTCAACATCTAGCATGGCAGGTTAGTAAACTATATTTTGTATTATTAAGTGGAATCAAAGCTGGAGCAGACAACATCAACTTATTTTTCATAATAATAAATCGTACAAAAATAAATTATATTTAATATTTAAGTTTATAACATTTTACGAATTAGGTATGCAAACAACAATTAACTGTACCTATTTGTTTTTATTTATCAGATCAAAACCAGATGATATCAAACACACATGTGTCAACCTCAATAAACTCAGCAGTCACATATCAGCCCTCAACATCTGCAACTCCTCAACCTCAGTATGCCCCTGGTTAGTACTTTTTTTTATTTTACTCATACCTTGTTTCGACAATATAAGGTAATGTGTAATGCTTCGATATCTGTGGAATTTGAGACATTTTTAACATTAGCTCCATGGAGTTTCTGTCAAAGAAAAATCGAGAGATTTCCTATATTATTTTTTATTTATATACAAGATTTATCATCTTTTACATATTTTAACAATAAACTTTACTAATAATTATGCATATGAAGGTGGCTGACCTAAATAGCTGAAGTCAAAGCTGATATATGTATAAAATAGTAATTTCTTGAAATAATTTACTATTTTACATGTTTCAGGTCGAAAATGCTCTTTAAGAAAAACAAACGCTGATAACAAATTAATATACAAGTTAAAACAGAAGTTGACCAAAATGTCCATTAAATGTAAAAATGTCAATAAAAAGATACAAGCAGCCAAGAAAATATCAATGAACAAAGCGTTTTTGAAAATAATGGAAAAGTTGCCTGAAGAAGTACAAACTTTTACAAAAATGCAGCTGAAAGGTACGGTAAAGGCAAGGGGCAGACGCTACAGCAACAGTGAAAAAGTAATGGCATTAACCATTCTAAAGCAAAGTCCAAAGGCACACAAATTATTAAAAAAAATGTTCGTGTTACCATCGAAACGTTGTTTGCAATTGATGCTGAGTACATTTAACTTAGAACCTGGCGTTAATAAAAATATATTAGCTGATTTAAAGGACGTTGCCCAAAATTTAACTGAGGAAAAAAAACTCGTTAATATATTATTTGACGAGGTGTCACTAGCACCTGGACTAGAATTTATCTCGTCACTAGGAAAAATAGTCGGATTCGAAGACTTGGGGCACCAAAGAAAAAAGACTCTGGCTGACCACGCGCTTGTGTTCATGATCAAAGGGATTAAAAGTAAAAGTAAACAGCCCATTTGTTTTACCTTTTGTAAAGATACGACTAAAGCAAATGAGTTAAAAAATTTATTAAAAATAATTATAAAAGAAATCAACGCCACTGGGCTAATAGTAGTGGCGACTATCTGTGACCAAGCCACTACTAATGTGCGAGTGGTGCAGGAGCTGCAGAAAGAAACTAAAGCAATGTATTTAAGACGAGGAGATACATATAACTCAAATGCTATAGAGGTAGACGCCTGTAAAATATTTCCTCTTTTTGACACTCCGCACCTACTCAAAGGAGTAAGAAATAATTTATTAACAAAAAATGCAAAATACATACAAAATGGTGAAACAAAATGGGCTAAGTGGGAACATTTAAAAATGTTATTAGAAATAGATGATGGAGATGATGAAATAAGATTAGTGAATAAATTAACAGAAATGCACGTCGTGAAAGAAAAAATCCCTAAAATGAAAGTTAAGTACGCAGCGCAAGTATTCAGCCAGAGGGTATCCAGCGCGTTACGTTTTTTATCAAGTGAGTACAATAATTCTAATTCAACATATAATATATGTCAACGGCAAGTACCAATGTGACTTTTTCCGTGTTATATGACCTTTTTAAGATTATTTAGACACCACTGTCAAATGGTGAAGGAAAACATGTCGAGGAAACCTGGGGTTATCATTTATAATTATAAGTTTGAGATCGCCAACCCGCATTGAGCAAGCGTGGTGATTAATGCTCAAAACTTCTCCGTGTGAGAAGAAGCCTTTGATCAGCAGTGGCCACTTATGGGCTGTTGATGATGATATAAATGGGGATCATAATAATTAGTCAAATTCAATACACGTAGTTTGTACGAGGTTACTAGTTGTGATGTCAAGTTTTTACATCAATTACTTTAAAAAAACTTCAAGTAAGCTTTTCATTCATTAATAAAAACTTACTTTCATGTTTTGTTTCAGAGCATAAAATTCTACCTGAGGAATGTGAAGGAACAGCAGATTTCATTTTAATATTTGATAAACTTTTCGATTCTTTTAACGGTCATTCTTATCAAGGTTCACCAAAGCCATATAAACAATGTTTGAAAAATAATTCACCCCATTTTCAGCTGTGGAATGATTTGTTGCCGATTTTAGAATCTATTAAATTTGAATCAATAGTTAAAAGAAATAATTGTGAGTTGATTAAGCATGAATCGATTCCCTCAATCAGAAATTGGATACATAATATTAAAACTTTTAATGAAATGTGGCAATACTTGCATGCAAAATATAAATTAAGAAATGTATTAACTCGAAATTTTAACCAAGATCCATTAGAAAAATTTTTTAGTAGTATAAGGAGCAATGGTATTCGTAATGTTAATCCTAATTGCAAACAGTTCATCAGTGCTTACAAAACATTGTTGATTAATAATTTTAATTCTGTACATTCTGTTAGAGCCAATTGTGAAAACGATAATAGCAAATCATTTCAATCAATTACTAATTTACTTTATAAAAAGCCAGGTAATTCAGACCACGATGATTTTGCATGTGAAATTGATACACTAATAAGAACGATGACCGAAATAAAAAATAATAATTCTTTGATTTATAGCGAATCGAAAAAATACGTTACTGGGTACGTAATTAAAAAAATTAAATCGAAGATTTTTAAAAACTGTAAAATTTGCATGCGTGATTTCTGTAGATCTGATGTGGATTTTCAATCATTCACTTACGAAGTTGATTATACAAAAAAATCATTGTTTCAGCCAAGTGAAAGTTTTAATAATTTGATGAGTGATATTTATCATGTTATTGTTGCATGCTTACGCGATTATCCTGAATCAAATGTACTTAATAAGAAAATAAAATATATGATAAATTGTGCATGTGATTATAATGTTATATCATGTGATCAACATAAGGAGGTACTGATTGAGTTTATTAATGATCTTTCAATTAAATTAATTATACATAGTTGGTGCAATGGGGTGAATAGAATTTTGGCAGGTAAAATAACAAAATTTGATAAGAATGACCAAATCAAACAACAAGCGTTTGAAATGTATAAAAAAAAGTTTAATAAAAAATAAAATGTAATAATGTTTAGTCAACGAAGTCCAGAATCAAGAAAACACCAAGTCTATTTTAATGAGAATATCAAGGTTTAAGTCACATTTTCGAAAAAGAGTTTAGAGTGAGAGAGATATGAAATTTAGTTTTATATTAATTTCATGAGTATGGAAACTTTTAAAGACACAAGTATTACTGCTCACTTGCAGAATAATTTGAAATTATTATTAATAGTTCAAAATCTTCAATAACTTTCATTGTCATCATTAATCATCATAATTGAAACTAATGATATAAAAATATTCAAAAAAACCTTCACATATTTTCAGTAACTAAATATTATTATAAAATTAATGTTTATCACAAATATTTGATACTAAAAAGTGTGAGTACTAAATTACTTTTGTTTAAAATTACCTAGTATTTTCTTATCACGGCTTACTAATGATATTATAGATTTTTTTCTATATTTTATGTAACTTCTGGGCTTATTATGATATTTCGTATTATCCCTTTATGACGTTTTGTATTAAAGATAAAGTCAAATGATGTTTTTGTGTATGGGTATTAATATGTTTTGTACTTTAAAATTATTTATATCTCGTTGCCTCGACTGCCTCGTTGGCCGAGTGGTAGCAAGTGCAACTGTCGGGCAAGGGTCTCGGGTTCTATTCCCGGGACAGACAAAGTATTATTGGGTTTTTAAAAAATTCTTAGTAGTCGGAATTATGCCCGGAGTCTGGAATTATGCCCGGTATATGGCAATAGGCTCGCCCCCTATTACATAAGACTCTTAACATAAATAGTGAAAAATGGGTGGTTGCATTATACAGTGGCATAATGTATACCACTGCCTACCCCTTCAGGGATAAAAGGCGTGATGTTATGTTTGTAAAATTATATTATTATATAGGATTTAGTAAATTTTAACACAAAATAGAGTAAACTCGCTATATTGCACTTGTATTGTCAATCGTTCATAACAATTGTATAATTTATGTTTAAAAAGAAATTATTTCATATTTTTCTTTAATTCATAATTTTAATTCCATTTCAATTTATAAGACCTTGATAATGTATTGCTTATGTGTACCAAGATTCATTAAAATCACTTGCAAGTGTGGATGGACACGTTTGTCACAATGAATATATATTATTAATTACATAATAATTAATAAAATTATTGGAAAGAAATGGTTTTAACGCATTTTTTAAATTAATGTTCTATGAAATAATATCCATACTCGTCATACACTAAAAATCTACACACTCCCTATAAACAAAAGCACTACACTCAACAAAACGCTATTTCCAACTTTTTGTGTTAATTTTTAGTATAACTGTTTTGTTATTTTATAGTTTATTTTTCACACTTTTTGTACCATAATAATGAGTTATTTCTTACTGATTCCAAGTATACTGAAATATGTACTTTTGTGGTGTAATTTGAAATATCTCATTTTTTTTTCAAAGTTGAAGTTATTTATGGCAAACATAGGTAATAAGTACATGTATAATACAGGTGAAGCATACAATAACAGTGCGCTATGTTTCGCCTGTCGACATGCAATTAAGAAAATGTCAGATTCAATTTTATGAGTGAAAAAAACAATATAAATGGACTAAATTATAACAATATGTATAATTAATAATGTCAAACTATTTTACAACAATTTTAAAATAAATAGAATTTGTCAGCGTTGATCTGATGATGAAGGATTCCAGTTTCAAGTTCGTGATCTTTGGTTTTCAATATTGTTTTATTATGAGAAATAAATGAATGTTAATCTTATTTTTGTGGTTTCAATTCTACCAAATAAAATAATTTTAAACCAGTTATTAATTAACAGCACTATCTACCGGGTTTTTTAGGTACTAAAAAGATTTAGCGCCATCTATCGATTAGAGCACAAAATTTTGCTTGACTTTCATTATGATCATCGAGTTGCTTATCTATTGCAGTTATTGTGTATAATCTATGGCCAGAGCGGCGTATGCAGCGGCAGTGAGGGGACGTATTTGTGTTCGCGCGAACTGAATAAATCGTTTTGAAAATTTCGCTCCGCATCAAATGGATACCGAAAAACTTATTAGTGAGATATTGAATAGGCCGGCAATGTGGATGTCGAAACATCCTCAACATAAATTCAGAAATATAATCAAAAAGTTATGGGATGAAATAAAAGAACAGTTCCCAGGAAGTACTGGTATTTTATTGACACATGACACGTACACCAGCACCGCCCAACTCAACAAAGATATTAGCACCTCTTGGCGTAAAACAAGTTGGGTCAATGACTAGCGCTGAAAGAGGAACGACGGTTACAATGATGGCGGCTATTAATGTAGGTGGTGGTTTTATTCCACCCATGTTGATATTCCCTCGTGTAAACTTTAAAGATTTTATGATAACTGGAGCTCCTGAAGGCACTATTGGAGGCGCCAATCCATCCGGTTGGTCAAATGAGTCCATGTTTGTGATATTTCTCCAGCATTTTATCAAATATGCAAAGCCTACCAAAGAACGACCTGTCATTCTCTTAATGGACAATCATGAAAGTCATATTTCAGTGTCGGCAATACAAATGGCCAAAGATAATGGTGTAAAGCTTATAACTCTACATCCACATACTAGTAACCATATGCAACCACTAGACAAGTCAGTTTTTGGGCCTTTCAAGACTTATTTTAATACAGCGGCTAACGAGTTACTAATGACTCCAGGACATGTGGGAAAACCATTAACTATATATAATATTGCTGGCTTGGTGGGAAAAGCTTTTCCTCTTGCCTTCACACCAAACAATATTTGCAAAGGTTTTAGTTCAACTGGTTTCCATCCTTTAAATGAAAACATCTACACAGACGCTGATTTTATGCCCGCATCCTATTCTGATTGTCCACTTACCGAAAATTCACCTACCAGAAATCAGGTGGCTATTAGTCAACCGACAGCTTCAGGTTCCGAAGTTATAGACGGAACATCGCCAACTTTGATATCGCCGGCTATAATACGCCCTCACCCAAAAGCCGAACCTCGTAAAGAAACACGAAGAGGAAGACAAAAAGGAAGATCCAGAATTTTGACCGATACACCAGAAAAGCAAGAAATAGAAAATATAAAAGCTAAAAAACAAGTTTCAACTAAATTTCCTAATCAAACAGAGTCCATCAATCTTTTGGAAAAAAATAGGTTTGTGAATAAAAACAGATTTAATAATGCAAAAAAGATAAAAAAAAAGAATTCTATGCGAAACAGAAACCAGTGAAGATTCTACCAACTATTCTCCGAGTGACACATCTGAAGGTGCCTCCGACAATGACAGCGAAGATGAGAATCTGCAGGCTGAACATGTTAATAAAGAAAATTACAATATTGAAGACTATGTTATATTTGTATATGAAGGTTCTTATTTTGTAGGAAAGGTAGAAGGTATATCTGAAGAGGGTGTATTACTGAAATCGATGCAAAAATCACTTAAAAACTGGAAATGGCCTGAAAAAGAGGATTTAAATCTGTACCCGGTGAGTGACATTGTGGAAAAAATTAAAACTCCGCAAAAAGTTAACAAGAACAGAGAATTTTTTTATGTTCCAGAGATACAGAAGTAGATACTGGGATTTCTTGTAATTGCTTAAGACTGAATAATACATCTACATTATTGATAGTGTTTTTATAATAGCTAGTCCAAATGACTGATTAAAATTTAAGAGAGAAATAATAATTTATATATAAAAATAATTGTTTCAATATTTTGTTTTCCATTTGTTATGCTATATAGGTATATTGATGTAAATGAAGAAGCTAAGTTAGCCCTTCATTTAATTTAAATTTCCCGCGTAGTTTAGTTTAGACTTTATACGTCAGTATAATCTGTGGTGACAGCTTTTTTCCACGATGTCAAAGACAATGGTTTTGTTTCGTCTCGAGATTTTAGAATAAGCGCGAAAGATATTTGTGAAAATTATTTTTAAAATAAGGATACAAAGGATTGTTTGAAGCAATAGCTCTTAATGTTGTTTCTTTTACAGAGCAACAACATAAGTATCTTGTTTCATTATCCAACCTATTACAAAACAACATTATTTATAGCTGTTGTAAACAATGGAAAAGTTAAAATTCGAATTTATTGTAAAACCAAGCGAAGACCCAAAAACAAATGTGGTCTGTATAACCTCTATTATGGATGAAGACAAAAACATGTTCACAATTCCGGAACAATTACAACCGGTGAAACTACATGATACTGTTATAAAAACTCAAACCTTTCAAAAAGTAAAAGC